GTGGCATTTCTGTGGATTTTGTAAGTTCCATAGACAGAATTGGGTCATCTAGAAATCACAGGGAGATAGCTCTCAAGTCAGTGGAAAGGACTTTCCAACAAAATTGTCCCTTTATTCAATTCATAACTGTGGGGGGAAAAAAATGGCAGGTAGTAGGGGAAAGGTGGCCTGCAGGAATGGGAGCCCTTTCTGGCTCTTCTGGTATCTAACTTCACTTTTATTTAACTTACCTATCGTCATACTCCTGCATGTGTCCTATTACCTTTCTCTACATTGACATGGGGGAAAACTCTGTTCCCTTCAATTTAGCGGAAGAGTTCAGTTGACTGACCTGTAAGGGGCATGTCATATGTACTCACAGTGGAGAGGCGATAGCCCTAAATGTGTGCGTATCAATGCCTCTCCTGGAAGTTTCCTACATACGTGTTTGCTATGGGCCTATTACGTGCCTAACCACTTTATTGAAAGTTAGCTACTGTCTCATAAAATTGTAAGTGGTGTGGAGTTTTCCTCCTCAGAGGTCACCAATTTAAGTCCCTTCCAATGCAGTAGCATTCCCACCCCATTCCCCACTGGTACTCCTTCAGAATGTCTGTTCAGTCTCTGCTTGCCCACTTTCTGGGATGAGAACTTAGGTTTTCTATGAGTCAGACATTCCATCTGTGAACTACTCTACTTGTAAAAAATAATACCCTGTCAAAAATCCTGTTATTTATATATTTTACTCAGTAACCTTGGTCAGCTCTGTGAGACAGTACAGTAAAAGCCTATTGTCATTCATGGACAAAGGTTTGAAGATGGCTCTCATGCAATTCTGTGCTGGTCTTTAGTACCAAACATCTCTGTAACAAACATCTCTGGCTCCATTTAATACTCCACAAGTGACACAACTTGCTGAACTTACTCACCTGAAGCAACCTCCTGGATATGCTCTAGTTTTGCAACAACACTTTAAAAGACAGCAATCTCCTTTAGAGAGGCAGTATGGGGTAATGGTTAAAACCAAGAACTCTGGAGCCAGACTGCCTGAGCCTGAATCCTGACTCTACCACTTACAGGTTGTACAATCCTAGACAAGTTAATCAGTTTCTCTGTGGTTCAGTGTCCTCATCTATAAAGTAAGAATGTAATATTATCTATTTCATTGGTTATATTGAGGTTGGAATACATGGATATATGTCAGGTACATATAAAGAAAGCAGCCTGGCACATAGTAAATGCCATATAACTAAGAAGGTGATGATAATGATTACTATCTGAAAAAGAAAAAAAGTAGCAAGAAGAATGATTAAAGCCACCTATCACCGAGCCTTTCCTCTCCAACAGGCAGGGGTAAGGCCAGAAGGTTTCCATCCCTCCCTCGCTCCCCAGTACACTCTTTGCAGAAGGGCAGCTACAAATATTTGCCAGAGTTTGCTCCTTTGACATCCACAATAGACAAACTATAGGGACAGAAGTACAGAGGGCTACAAGGAGCTCAGAAGCCCAGCCAAGAGCACCCAAACCCTGTCTGATGCTCCAAAGCAAACGCTGCCAGCCATTGAAGAGTTAGAGCAGAAATTGGGATAGCCAAGTCCCCACAGAACACAGTGGATACAGTGTCCTGGGAATGAACATGCTTCATCCACTCTCGTCTTACTGCACAGCCCTGTACCTGATTGGTGATCCCAGGTATACCAGTTTTCTCATTGAAAAAAGTTAGAATGGTGGATGCTACCATGTGTGAGAGATTAGATAAGTCACTTCTAGACAAGTCCTCCCTGCACATGAATGGATCAGGCCCTATTCCTGTCATAATTTACAAAATTAAACACTTACTTTCAGAGCTGCATAATCTGGTTTACTCCCTGCAAATATATGTTATCATGACCTCCCACAGGAAGACAAAAAGTCCTCTTGAAAGCTGGCTGCTAACTTGTTTATCATCTCTAGCTCCTTTATCTTCCCAGATTTCAATGTATTGAGAACTTTACTGATCATAGAGGATATGTTGGTATAGGGAGAAGAGCAAACACAAGCTGAGTACACCACTTGGACTGGCAGTAAAATGTCTCCTCTAAGGCATGAAGGCTCATTGTAGCCCACAGTTTCTAATCTGAAAAAGAAATACCTTCCCTGCTTGGAGATCCAAAGAAGAAATATTAACCTGTCAAGGATTGAGATCTCTTGGAGATACACAAGTCTTATTTTTGTGATTATAGTTTCTGGTCCCCAATTTGTAACTTTCTCTCCCCACCTTTCTCTTTCTTTGCAAATAATCAAACTGAGGATGCTGATGCTGTCACAAAACCTCAGACCACAGCACATATCTCAGGTTTCTGGCATTCTTCCTTTTAAATGCACCGACCTGGCAAGAGAGTGGACAACAACCCCATACATGGATGCAGAACGACACTCATCTAAAAGGATGGCAAAAATCACTTTAAAAGGAAACTTACTACAAGGCCAGCCCTGTGGCTTAGCAGTTAAGGGAGCTGGCTCCCACAGTTCCAATCCACAGTAGCTTGAAAACTTACCCAGCACATGCGCATGTGTGCCCAAAATCCCAACAGGATGACTAAATGGAGGAGAAGGGATTGTATCATAGCCATGCCCCACTAAGGGGTGCCCTCCTTCTCTCCCTGGTGACACACATGTCTCCTAGCAATTAAAAACAAAAATGGAAACCTATTATGAAATTATAAAAATCAAGACAGTGTGGTCAGGCATAAGGCTAGACATGTAGATCAACACAATAGAATCATGAGTCCAGAAATATGCCCTCACATTTACAATCATTGATTTTCAACAATGCACCAAGACAATTCGAGGGGGAAACAGTCATTCCAACAAGTAGTGCTGAGATAACTGAATATACACATATGAAAGAATGTGAGTTGGACCCCTACCTCACACCATGCATAAAAATTAACTCAAAAATGACTCAGAGCCCTAAACATAAGAGCTAAAACCATAAAACTATCAGATGAAGCATAGAAATATCTTTATTACCTTGGTTTTATGAAATAGTTTCTTGGGTATAACAACAAAAGCATACATAAGAAAAGAAAAGATATAAAGTGGACTTCAAAATTAAAACATATAGCCTAAAAAAATAAAGAAAGTGAAAAGACAACCTATATAATGAGAGAAAATAGTTGCAAATCATGTGGACAACCATGCATCTGGTAAGAGTCATATCTAGAATATATGAAGAGGTCTAACAACTCAATAATAAAATGATAAATAATTGAATTAAGAAATGGACAAAAGATCTGAACACATATTTCTTCAAAGATATACAAATAGCAAAAAAGTACTTTAAAAAGATGCTCAACATGACTAATCATTAGGAAAATACAAATCCAAACCACAATTAAATACTACTTCATACCCACCAAGATGGCTCTAATAAAGAAAATTCACAATAACAAGTGTTGACAAAGATGTCAAGAAGTTGGAACCATCTTCTTAGATTTCTGATGGTAATGTAAAGAGATGGAAAAGTCTGTCAGTTCCTCAAAAGTTAAAACTCAGAGTTACCATATGACCTAAAAGCAGACCTAGTCCACTCCTAGGTATGTAGGGAGAGAATTGAAAACATACGTCTACACAAACATGTACAGAAATGTTCACAATAGCATTATTTATAATAGCCTCCAAAAAAAATTGGAAACAATCCAAATGGCCAGCAGCTGATAAATGGAAAATGAAGTTCAGTATATTCGTAGAATAGAGTATTATTTGACAATGAAAAGGAATAAAGTATTGATTCATGCTACAACAAAATACACCTTGAAACTATGCTGAGTTCAAGAAGTCAGTCTCAAAAGACCATATATTATGATTCTATTTATCAAATGTTCAGAATAAGCAAATCATAGAAATAGAGTGTAGATTAGTGGCTCTCAGAGGCTGAAAAAGTGATGGCTAATGGGTACAAAATTTGTTCCTGGATGATAAAAATTACCTGGCATTAGACAGTGGTGATCGTTGTGCAATCCTGTGAATATTGTACACTGAAAACCACCCAAAGTATGCCTTAAAGGGGTGAGTTTTACAGTGTGCAAATAATATCCCAAAAGAGTTGTTGCTCTTTTTTGTTTGTTTGTTTGGCTATAGGGTGCATGTACACACTAGAGAGACAAAGAAAAAGTAAGAAATCACTCCCAGGGCCTTAACCACTATGCCACCTACTGCCCCCTAGTGCTAGCGCTGTTCTTTTAAAGAACAAAAACAAATGTTCAGGACATAGACCAGTTTGCAAACTTCTAGACCACATCAACTCTCCCATTTTACAGTTGAGCAAGCTGAGACTTAATAAGAATGAAAATTAACATTTACTGATACACTCATAATGTGCTAAATAGAGGGCATTTTTTGTAAAACTTATCATACGCAGTATCTGATTGTTTGGAACAAAAGTAGTTCAATGTAAAACAAGTAGAAAGATACCCGAGACACCGAAATGTCTCAAGTGTAATAATAATAGTATGTTTATTGAGTACTTAACTAAAAGGGGGGAAAGCAGCAACTTGACCGACAGTGGGTCTATTCAGCATTTATGCCATCTACACACAAAGGATAGACTTGACTTTTTAACAATATGATTGTAAAAAAGAGTTGGCATTGTATATGGCCCAGAAGGCTGAGAAGTATCCACAAAAACACACAGAACTGGCTTTGTTTGGGAGCATCCAAAGGGGCCATCTGTGCCTGGAGAAGGGTTCTTGACACGATGATCCACTCCCAGCTTCACCCAGCCTCAGATCATAGGCACATATATACCTGGTGTTCTTGGAGAGGTCTCGGTGCTTTACCTAAAGAGTCCTCCACACTGTCTGAGGACAGATTTATACTGTTGCTCAGGTATAATATCTTTCCACATCAAATCAAAGAAGACCATTGTCTCTGGCGTATCAAAAATCAGACAAATTCTTTCCACCCTCTGAAGATGCTCAGCACTCTAGCCTGCCAATGTCTCATCAGCCCAGATCAACAAAGGCTAACAATTCACATACAGCTTCAATATCTTCAGTAATTATATAACTCAGATCTACAGGGGTCCCATCAAGAAGAAACAGTTCTTTACTGTGTGGCAGTGGGGACAGGTCGGGGAGTTGGGGGCAAGAAGGAACAATATTGGTTTCATAGGCCAATTCCAGACACTTAGAAAATAAAAGTGTTGCATTTCTCCAGCTTTTAGAAAATACAACAGTAAGAATTGCAGAAATGCAACATAAAAACTGTAGAAATGACTGGAGAGCCCATTGCCCTTGTCAAAAAGCTACAAAACTATTTCTTCACACTTCTACTTTCAGAACGAAGTATCATCAAGAAGAAACTACAGTTACCCAAGCCCCCATATGCAAGAAAATGACCTGAGAAAATTAAAATGAAAAACA